GTAATGATCTTCCAAATCCAGTTGTGTGATAAGCTGATTCACAGGGCGACAGTTCACGCGCAGTTCCAATTCACCTCCTCGTTCGGCCAGTTGTTGAAGTTCCCGCACGAACTGGGCCTCAGTAGAGGTCAGACGACGTCGAAGTCCCGGACAGATCTGTGCGTGTCAATTCACAGAAAGGAGGGGCGATTGGAATCGAACGGAAGGTTAAACATTTTGTTGTGGATTCTCCATGCATGCACAAAGATGAAGTGTGTGTGTGTGTGTGTGTGTGTGTGTGATACCAAAGACAGTGTTGTGTTCTAATCAAACTACTGATAAAGATTTCATTTGATTTGGTGGTATGAAAAGGCGGGGATGGTTTCAGACCATCATCATCATCATCACCGTGCAGCGAAAACCAGGGAAGCGAACTTCATTGATCGCTACCAAACTCACAATGCATGTGCATTGGGGTTTGATGGATGGGTACTGCTAGGGTATCCAGCTACTAAGCAAGAGAAGGATTACGGTTCTCAACCAAAGCCTTTAGTTTTGACAAGAACTTAGCCGTAAGGCAGCGGATGAAGCAAGTTAGAGGCCCATTTACTTAGATCAATTATTCCTGCACCATTTTTACCGACTGAAACGCAAATTCCAGTCGAACCCCCAACCTGGAGGAGTAGAATAAAGGACTTCGTCCAACCTCTACCTTTCGACCTTCCGGGCATGATTAGATCTTCAGTTTGACCATATAATAGCTATATCCGGCGTAGCTCGTTGGGTCAGAGAGGTGCACAAGCCATCACACCCCGTCAAGGTGCAGTCTCGTGGTGATGGAATTGGTTTCACTCGGCCGATGATCACAAAATCAGAGTAAGCTAACATGCTTTACGTCACCTCGCCTGGGAGCTGAAACAAAACAAGTCTGTCCCACACATACTGTTCCCGCGTGATAAGTCTTAGACAGAGAACAATACACATTAGAAGCTATCGTTTTTGTTGGCACAATCGCGGATTCAAGCGGTGGTAGAACTCGAACACACGACAGCACCGGTTGCTATTTTGATGACCTTGATCGCTGGATCCCCGACACCGGTTCGTCTGGGTTTGAGACATCATTCTGTTTTATATGATACAATTCTGTATCACAATCTGATTTAGAGGAGACACAGAAGTCTGCTTACTCAAAGTGATCTGTTCAGTTTTCCATAGAAGACGGATCCAATAATTAGATCGATATCACAAACAAAATGGAAAGTGTGATCAAGGTTTTCGTCAACCTATACTTTATGAAGTACCGGGTGCAGTTATCATTCCTCAGATTCTTGATCAGTTGATTTCTTGGGGAATTAAACGTAGTATCCAAACGGCCTCCCCTCCCCAGGGCAAGATGAGGAAGACTTGGGAACGTGAGAATTACAACTATGTTCACAATTGCCCTGAGAACTTCGTTGAGTAGCAGCCCAAGTTCATCGAGCTACTATACTCATATGACTATGCAAGCAGTATTTGAAGAAATTAACAGTCGATTGTCGATTAAAGACTACTGGCAGGATTCGTGATTGTGCTAGCAACACGGGTGCAGACGAAAGCGCGTGCGCATTAAATCATGAAGCTGACTTCCTTAGGTGGACCAGGGCGACTAAGCGGATTCCACGCACCCAGCAACAACACAGGGAACCGATTTGAGACCGTACTTTTAGAGATGAGTCCATGTTGTGTTGTTCGTATAAGTAAGAGTAACAATCGCTGTGAGTCTCTTAGACACGCGTTGGAGAGCGAGTGGAGAGTTCAAAATCTGTTAAAGTTTGTTTGCTGAATGCAGTCAGATTGAATGGATACCGATATAAAAGAAAACATTGAATCCTGTGTTATTCATAGGTGCAATACCGAAGGAAGACAAATGTCACGAGACCTTAATAGTTCGTTTAATCTGCTCATTCGCCGACGGAAGTCACAAGCCGGTATCTTAATAGCACCATAGTGAACGAACGTGTACCTGTAAGCGAAGATTCCTGAGCATAGAAGTGAAAGGTTGATTTCACGGTCATTGGATAAAAATTGCGCCGGCAACTTTTGATCACGCACAAAGTTGGGTGATCCAGCCGAGTAAGCAACGCTTCACTGAATGCGGTTACGTAACAGAGGTTGGGAGGATGGAACAGGCTCAAGTGTGCCTTGTCGTCAAGACATGCTTTGAAACAGATGGTCTCCGATTTCTTGCGATCGCCTAATTTCCAGTTGTCGGTTGCGTCAACAAATTCATTAACCTTTTTGAAATCTATCAGTTATGATATCAGGGGTGAGCAAAACGTATCCTGGATACGCAGTACCCGAGTACGAGGTGCAGTCGATCGAGAAAAAAACGTGGCCTGTAATCTGTTGTGAATATTGTCCAGTGATTGCAACTCACACAAAAACAAATATCAACACATCCCAGCACAGCTCACAAGTCACATGAGGGTCGTTGTACTCGGACTGTCGTAAGGATCGAACTCAGTCGATTTCAATGGAGGGCGATGATTTTCTACCATGATAAATGTGGTTTAAAGCAGCAGCAGAGTATTGATCGTTTGTGAGCTGCCTTTGTTGATGACAGTTCGATCACGCTTTTAAACCAATTTGAATAAGCAGTAAATGAGGCATGATGATAATATGGACAGTGGAGCGGCAGTACCAAAAGGAGCAGAAAACAGTATCATTCCAATGCATCATCCACTTCGATTTGAAGATAGGCATCAGACTCCGTTCAGTTTGGAAAATAAATCACCTGGTGTGTTTACGTACTTTTTTTTACTGTACTGCGGCTGGCTCCTTGGAAAGGATAAGCCGTCTCCAGATATGATCATGATCATGAAATTCCTTGGGAGTTTGGTACGAGAGACGTCCCCAGCATCACTCGGCGTTTTCTGTATTTTGAGGGCGTACCTCTAGCCTTTGCACAACCAAGTACGAACTGCAAGGCAGCAGGATGTAATCCCTCTCCGCTCGGAAGTGAGGGGCCAATGACTTTAGTTGTAAAAGGCCAGTCACATCGACCTTTGTCAGGACACTGTCATTGGCAGCTTTAAACAGGAGTCAGGTGACTAGCCTGAAACCCACACTCTGTTAGTGCCACCGCTGTTTGTTCGCGACTGCTTATTTGTTGCGGTATGCTACACAACTTATTCACAGCCAACCTTCGTCGGAGAAGGTATCCCCGATCCACACCCCAGGGACGGGCCTGATAGCATGCGGCTCTGCTTAACCCGAGGGTATCCAGGTAGGTATCCAACTCAGTTTCTGCCTTTCTGGTCTGAACCCAAACCAATGCAGTCGGCTCATTTGCCGTGAAACGAGTCTCCCCCCAACCCAACCCAACTCAACCCCCTCCCCCTCAAAAAAAAAAACAATTTTCCGCCGTTCGAAATAAATATCATTCTAGCTGTTCTCGGTATTGTACGCCTGAAACCTTGGCCAGTCCCGGTTATATTTCAGACAGACAGACAGACAGACAGACAGACAGACGTACAACAGTTCTTCAGGCTTTTGAGTCTACTCATCTCACTTGTTGTACTAGTTGCCCCCACACGGGAGCACACAATCATCTCGCTTCTGTCTCAACTCATCATTGTCCGATCAGGTTTGTCTGAAACTTGATTTCTTCCCAGGACTAAACACAAATGATTNAAGCCCAACTCTCTCTCCAACCCGCTCAAAGAGTTCCATATCTCTTATGTTTTATGATACCTAAGCAATCGTATTGTTGATCGTCGTCGTTAGGACAGACACTATGAATGATGAATGGACTGTGGGATGAGTGTCTTGATGAGGTTCTGACTTGATCAGCGAAGACACGGTAGAGCACACGTTAAAAAGACCTCATTGGACATCGGATCGGCACATATTCACGGACAATTGTGCCTCTTCGGTGAATTTGAAAACCGGACTGTGGACATCATGGACAAAGTACGGACTCGCTGAAACTAAAGCTATGCTAAAAGTTATAGCAACCGGTTAGTTTTAAATGGTGTTGCTAGGTTCAGAAACGTGATTGCCGTTCTATATAGATAATCTCGTCTATTCATTCAATCGGATCTAACGTACATGTAACAAATAGTTTGTAACTTGCCGACAACTGTCACGTGACTTTGACTGCCTACTTGACGATTGACGGATTGTAGTGAATCGTGCACGTGGTTATTACATCACGGAGTTATAAGTGAGAGAGAGCTAGATAACGAGAGCGAATTGAACACGGCCAGTCTGATACAAGTCCCAAACAGAAATACTAACAATTTCATCTTTATTCGCATTTAACTCACAGTTACTTGTGAGTAGTGGTGTGGGATAATTGATATTGATTGATTTGAACTGCCTATATAACCTTCGGATTTAGCCCTCACGCGCAATCTTCAGTTCATCCAATCAACCATACACTCGAAAGCACTAGACACAAGTTTCGTTCTTATTAGAGCTCATCGGTAGTGCATATCCACCCTCCCGTCCGGGATTTGAAATCCGGACCAGTTGCGTGTTAGGCGTGTGCGTTACAACTATGCCAACCAGCTCATACCATGGCTGAACCAATTTGCTAATTCATGCTTGTTCATGTGTGGTCTTCAGCGATAGTCAATTAGTTCATTTGGCCAAATAGCAACGAAAGGGAGACACAGATCACAATCTGTTAACGCAACTGGTTTTTCCCGCTAGTTCTGATGTTGTTATAAGTGTCTGAGCAACAGTCAAGTTGAACTACCATATTCATATGTATGTTTAGTACCATAGACAGATCAGTGGTTTATCTAATCCAGTCACTCGGGAAATATTCTGCATCCGCGCTACGGTCACGTGTGATATGCACAACAGTATGTGGTGGTTCGATGAAATTGTAATTTGAAACAGTGGAAAGAAAATTCGATTTTTTGGTCTCCGAAGGAGTTGGGATAACGGAGGTGGGGTGGGGTGGGGTGGGGAGTGACAAAATGTGACATAGCAGACAAGGCAAACGTGAACACAAATTGGGACACGAGGATCGGGGAAGTGGGAAACGAGCTAACCTGAATGAACGCAGCCGGATCCGGTTCTTTGAGCAATTCGACTCCGAAATGGAGCAGACTCGTGGTCGCAGACAACCGGGTCCCCATGTGCACGGACTGTTCTCGGAGTTGACGTCCACGTTGTTGCATCCGAGCCCGGAGCTGTTCCAGCANTTCCAGCAAGCGTCCACGACACTCTTCTAGTCGTCGGATCAGTTGATCAATATCTCGATTTAAGGCGAGTTCCATTGACGGAATCGACTTCTGCAAGTCAGATAGGAGAAATAAAGGCCCAATACATTTCAGTTGGCTCATCACATAAAAGGTACATCTACCGGCTCCAAAGCGTTATTTGACAGTGCTGTCGATGAGATTGGTGAATTCGTAAATTGATGAATTTGTCTCGTATTCTTGTCCCTTATGTGCTGATCTTGTCTCAACGGTCTATTAACCAGCAACAGAACATAAACGCAAACACATCCAGTTATTCGCCGAAGATTCACCTTCAAATGTTAACCTCATCCAGGTGCGTTGAGATGAAAAACCAATATATATATATATATATATATATGTTAGAGATTTTCACATACTGGGGATCGATGAGTTGTACGGTTGATCATCAGCTCCAGTGGCACAAAGGCGATGTCATCGTGAGAGGCGGCTGGAAATAAAACCTACTCAAACAGTTCAAGCAGTATTCGAAGTATTCGAAGGCTACAAACTTCTTGTTTTTCCTGTGTTCATAAAATAATTGGCCTTAATCTTGCCTTGTCCGCCATAGTTGGTGTACGACCTGACATATTTTGCGGCTAGGTTGACAAGCAGTATCGAGCACCAATAAACAAATCAATCCCAACGAAGGGCTGTATGTTCCAGTTCGACCGAAAACTACGCACACCACTACTGCTTGCATCAACTCCCGTCGGAGTTCGGAATTCGCCACTGAAATATTCTTCGAATTTCGTTATTTTTTTTACTACAAGCAAAACGGATCATTGCTATTATCATTATTATTATTATCACTCAAATCGTTTTGTAGTGAACTATCCCGAGTACCGAAATTCATCACTGTACTCCTCTCAGTCACTTGTGTGTCAACATCTGTCTGCCGAGTTGTGATATGTAGAACGAATGAATTTCACAAGCATCATCCTTTTTGTGGAATCTAGTAGCTTTTCACAAGTACAAAGTGCTCGCAGATTCCATGCGCCTTTGGTCACCACACAGTTGGCATGGTTTTCTGTGAAAAAGCTTCAGTTGGCCGATCAAATGTTTTGACTGCATTCAGTGATGACGTTTATGACGGTGTTGTTGTTGTTGTTGTTTTTGGTGATGACGGTGGTGGATCAGGTGATGTTGGAGCATAACAAAAATATCTAGGAATTGTAACTCACAACATCGATCGTTCGAAATTGAAATCCCACGGTGCACTCTCATATATTGCGTAATATGTTCTCATTCAAATGACTGCGTTCGGGCCGTTGAAATAAAGATACCGGCTAGATGTGGGATACTGGATGTCCGGTTTCTCGAATTCTCAAAGTACGACAATTTAACACGTATAATCACTCTGCTACCACGGGTAACCAAAATATGCACACATTGCTTATTGCGTTAAATGAATATTCGGCACAGTGGAGGTAAGCCAGTCACAAAACTGCTTCCTGTCCCGATCGCGTACATATTACACGGTTGCGTAAGCAAAATGATTTATAGCCAACTGTCCGAGTGAACCTCTTTGTCTGTTTGGCTTGTGCTTCCTTTCCGCAACGACTGTTCACTGTTGGATTGCACAAACGACCAGTTGTTTGTGCGGATCGAAGCACGCGGAAAATCACCTTTCACAGAATACTTACTTACTTTTCACGTTATTGAGTACATTTATTAATTTTTTTCCAGGGCAACAGATAGACCATACTGCTTTTGCGACACTGACTTTTCTGCTTGATCGGATTTCTCAGCGTCTGTCACCCGTTATTCGCTCGGTCCCTATCTAAAAGGAGGGGGGGGGGGTTGAACCAACTAAGGCCAATGTCAGAAGCTTGGTTCTTCAGACCCCTGAGTCAAGTTGTGGTCTGACTACCCATTTCCTAAAAATTGCTCTTTTCCGTTCGGACTTTTCTTCCCACAACAAACAAAACATTCGATCCAAAAAATTTGCCCTGTTCCAAGATATGAAATCGTCACACAGCACGACTGTGCCAGCCAGCCAGCCAGCCATA